TCCCATTTATTTCAAATTATATGTTTGGAGGTATGTATGAAGCATACATAAAGAATTGTATAATAGGATGGTTATTAAAAGGGCTGTTGGTGCTTATCTCATTGGGTGATTACAGATGATTTATTTTAGGGTTTTTTATTGTTATTTTTTACTTTGAATTGTGTATTCTTTGCAGTTTAATAAAAATGTGTGATTTGTATAACCAGATACTTTTGTTGTGTGAAAAACAACTTGTTAAATGAGTTCTTGTTTATTGAAGTAACTAAGAAAGGGATTAGAATTTTTATCCTTTGCTGACCTGGTGAGGAGCTGATCCGGTACTTTTCCCATTGATTTGCTAATACTACTATCATATATGCAATGAAAAGTTGAAGAGGGATGGATCTGATAGACAGGCTTTCGAATTAGAGCCCATATCTTAGCTTTCTCCTACTGTACTCTCTTCCTGGAAGTCTCAGTGACTCTCAGACTGAGGGTTTTATCTTCTAACTGCAGGAAAGTGTCTGGTTTGCACCCAGACAACCTGGTAGTGCTAATGAGGCAATTCCCTTTGGAAGCAGCCCTCAATCAATGATGGATGAGAGTTAGTGGGTAAATATCTCAGCTTTCTTGCCCATGGGTAAGACACATCTCAAGTTTATACACACAAGTCCAATAGGCCTCACCTCACCTGACTACATCAGTGTACCTCACATTAGCTTCTCTTCTTGTCTTACTTTCCATTTCTCTACCAGCACTTCCTGGTATCACTGACCCCTCAAATTCTTGTCTCAGGTCTTCTTCCAAGAGAAACCAACTTAAAACAGGGTCCCAGTGCTGTTTATCTGCCTCCTCCCAGGACTGTGGACAAAGCACTCACCTGCTTTCTGGTCCTCAGAGCACAGAATAGGCTCAGGAGCCTATTGGAAGTGGTATGTCATATGAGCACTTAATATTTGCAATGGTGAAAACAAAATGGTGAATGTTGACAAAGAACTGCTTTTTCTTCTCTTCCCATCCTCCTGCTGAGTGAGGAACTTGTGACAAAATGACCCATAGCCCTGACTCATAGACCTGCTTTGCAAATGTTCTAAAGTAGGCCAGTCACCCAGGCCATAAGTGGCAAATTCCTTCATGAAGTTCTGTCTTTGAGCAACAGCGATCTTACCCATCCTCTGCCCTCATCTGCAAGTCATCTTTCTGTTTCCTGAGCCAAATTTCAAAGGGTTTAAGTGACTTTTCTATTTTGCTCTGCAATGTAGTGCACATACTCAGTGGCTCATGGCTGTGCAGCTGTTGTTGAGGGCATGTGGTAGATTTCATTCTTCACTGAAACACACACCACATTGGCTGTGGACCTTCCAGCTGAGGGCTAAGTGAACCCAAAGGCAAACTGTTGGAGTGAATGTGGACCTCTGTACCTTAGTGCTTCTGGCTGTGGTAGAAAGGCACAAAGGGAGTCTGCCTTGGACAACAACCTTGAAGGCAGCAGACTTCTCCCTACACATCTTTGGGCCAATTTCCTGAGATGTAGTGCCTGAGGCAGTGTGACTTGTTCAAGGGGAGGCAAGGGATGGAAACTTGGAGATCATTGTTGACTGAAAGGTTCTTAGGAAGACCCCACTCTCATTGCTTGGGGGCCATTCTTTGATGTTTCTCCTCTTCCCCTTGACCACCTCCCCTCCTTCCCCTTCCTTCTTCTTTATCTTTATCGCTATCATTTTTTTTGTGTGAAGGAATTCATTTATTAAAGTGTTTTTAAATCACAAGAATGTTTACTTTTAACACCAATCTTAGTTTAATTTTCAAAAACTATTTCTAAGACTTGAGTGGTGATTTAAATTCATGAGTAGCACAACATATAATAAATATCAGCCAGACCTCATTGAGAATGTTGCCTTGGGGAAGCAAGAAACAGTTATAATGATGCAGGAGGAATTAATGGACCAGATTTCCCCGATATGAGTGGGAATGATCCTTGTGATATCTATAGAAAATGAATTTTCTAAGATATGCATGGGAGGATGGAATGTGGAAGAAGATTTTACTTGCGTGGAGTTATATTTTTCAGGTTACAGTGTTCCATTTCCCCCAAGCCAGTTCTGAAAGAGGGGCAGCTGGGAGTTTAGCAAACCAGAAGCAGGGCCTGTGTCCAGAGTTTTCGTTTCATGTTGTAGCTGGTGTGGTTTAGCATTCAGGCCAGATTTCAGTCATCAGTCCATGTGTGCCATATGGGTACAGGGAAGAGCATCCCCTTGCATCAGGAGTCCTGAGAGAGAGAGAGGGAGTGAGGGAGGGAGTGAGGGACAGAAGGAGAGAGAGAGAGAGAGAGAGAGAGAGAGAGAGAGAGAGAGAGAGAGAGAGAGAGAGAGAGAGAGAGAGAGAGAGATGGAGAGAGAGACGAAACCGGTTTGGCTTAGTGGATAGAGCGTCGGTCTGCGGACTGAAGGGTCCCAGGTTTAATTCCGGTCAAGGGGATGTATGTTGGTTGTGGGCACATTCCTAGTGGGGGGGGGGCGGGGTGCAGCAGGCAGCTCGTCAATGTTTCTCTTTCATTGATGTTTCTGGCTTTCTATCCCTCTTCCTTCCTCTCTGTAAAAAATCAATAAAATATATTTAAAAAGAGAGAGAGAGAGGGAGAGGGAGAGAGAGAGAGAGAGAAAGAGAGAGAGATCGATCTAAATAGATAGAGGGCTGGGGGACTCTCATGGTTTGGAAGTTTAAATATTCAGGTTTCACTCACTTGCAGTGGTCATTCCATCCTGGCCACTGATTTGTTCCCAGATATGATTTGCAGACAGGTAAGTACCCAGCCCTTACTGGGCATGCATCTAAACTGCATTTGTCTAATCCCTTCCCCCACCCATCAGCAGGGAATAAAAGCGGATAATGTTAAATGCAGCTTTTTGGCAAAGTTGTGGGTCTCAAAAGAACTGTTGGCCCAGAAAGAAACTGATTCATTTGCATTTCAGACTGATTCATTTGCATTTCAGCATAACCATTATTGCTTGTCTCATTTTCGGTTCTTATAAGTATATTTCCAGTAGGACATGATCTCACTCATCTAGGGGAAATGAACAACATAGACTGATGAACAAGAAAAGACCCAGAGATAAGGAGGCATGGATCAGACTGTTGGGCCTCAGAGGAAGTGTATGGGAGGGTGGGGATAAAGGGGAGAGATCAACCAAAGGACTTGTGTGCATGCATATGAGCCTAACCAGTGGTCAAGGACAACAGGGGGGTGGGGGTATGTGTGGGGAGGGGTGGGGGATAGGAATGGGGGGATGAGGACAAATATGTGATACCTTAATCAATAAAGAAATTTAAAAAAAGAAAAAAAGAAAATAAATGGCATGCCTATACTATCTGGCCTGCCTTTTCTTTCCTTTTCTGTTAAATATACCAGGTTATTATAATGGCATCAATAGGACCTGGGTTTAATTTCCAAATTCACTTTCTCTCATTTTTTAAATAGAGTAACAATATCTATCTCACAGAGCTACCAAAGATTGAAGGAAGCAAAAAAGCATATTTTAAGTCATATAGCACCATATAAGTTGCATTGTTTATCTCAGTTGGATTTGGATCTGTATCTGTAAGAAAGCATCATTTTAGGAGATCATCGACTTCAGCTTTTTCTGTATAAAATATATATATTGTATGTTTCTCTTTTGCATTATGTAAGTCTTTATAAGTTTTCTGAAATTTTATTTTTGAAACATAGGCCATGAATGAATTAATTAAATGAATGAATGGATCAATCTGTGGAGGTATCAAATCCAACACTTCTAATACACTAACAAAATGTGTTAAGCAAACAAAGTCAGAAGAAAGGTTTTAGTTTGTGTCTTTGCTTTAAAAATGGCACAAGGTTCTGTGAAATATATGAACCTAAAAACATAATTCTTTTACCTCTTTTCCTAGTTTTTTCTAAAATCATGAACTCATTTCAAATGAGGTTTAAAAAGAGGATTAACAAATATAAGAATTTATGTTAGTAACAGTCTTCAGAAGTGAGTAGCTCTAAGCAGAATACAATGATTTTTGGTAAACTCTGCTTCCTGTAGAAAAGAAAGAAAATCAAATCATCAGCATAGTAGAAGAATAAATCAGATGCACATTTCCTTGCAGAATAACTTCCCTTTCTTCAACCAGCCTCCTTTTGCTGCTGTGCTGTCTGCACCTGCCCTCCTCAAACCCAGGGACTGAATTTTATAGACCTCAGGATGGAGCTATTTTCACACTGTTTTGATAGTCACCTGTCTGAAGGGCTCAGTCAGTGGTTTGGGGAGAGTGAGGGAAACACGTTCTGGATTGGGGTTCCGGTGTGTAGACCTGGTTACAAAGGTTTGGTTTCTACTTAACCTCCTCCAGCAGACTGAGGGGGTGCCTCAGAGCACAACTGGAAGCCAAACTCCTTTCCTGAGGGTGGAGAAACATGCAGCTCTGCTAACTACCAGCAACCTAATGAAATGTTTTTTCATAAGGTCACCAATGAGGTTTTCATTTAAAATCTGGGACTTTACTCCAAACGCCCAGATACTTAAATTCATTAGCCATTTCAAAGAGGCCTGTGGTAAACAGGAAGTGCTCTAATGAAATTGGGCATACAGTGTCCACCTCAGGACCCACGTCACGTGAGACTTGACCAGTTTTCTTTCGGTAGACTTTATAGAGAGTGGTATATTTGAGATGAACTGAATAGGGATGAAAGAACAAAATTATTCAAAGAAATAGCCCCGAGGGAAAGTGGTGACAGGCAAAAGAATCAACAGAAGATTAGTTTTTATTTTATTTTTTTAAGAAAAATACTTAACTACCCTATGAGTGTCACACAAGCGTGTTTAATTCCAAACATCTGCACCTAGCAATGGTGGGAAATGTGGATAGGTTGAATGGGAAAAAAAAAAAACCCAAAATAAAACAAAAACAGCTTTAGGTTGAATCTGGGTAATTAAAATAGTACATATTAATTTCTGCAATGAAAACTGACCATTTATCTTGGTTTCAATTTGCAGCTCCTGGCTAAGCACAAAAACTTGCAGTGGGATAAAGTGCTGCGGCTGGAGGAGGTGCAGACCAACCTGGGGGTCAATCTGGAAGAAATGCTGTTGATTACAGAGGATGCTCTTCACCCTGAACCCTATAGCCCCGAGGAGGTCTGCAGGTGTCTGGGAATCAGCCTGCTGGAACTTCAGACCCAAATTCTGAGTCCAAATACTCAGGATGGTGAGTGTGCCAGAGAAAGTAAGAACACGGGTTGTTTCCCCATTCACAGCTGAAAAGTTTACAATTTCCACAAGGATCTCACTGATTTTGAAGCATGCTTGAGGGATTTGGAGAATGGGTGTGTTTTGGCAAATTACCTAGATTCTTGGCTTCATTAAATTCATCTTTTCACTCATCAACAGACATTTCCTGGCCTGCTGCATGCCAGGTATTCTGGTGAAGCAAAGCTGAATCACACTTTGTCCCTGCCCTCCAGAAGTTCATAATTCCATAAGCGTCTCTTTTTTCATCTTTTTTACCCCTACCTACTTTTCTGATTATTATACTACTTAGTATATAAAAAGGTTTAATCTGAACAGTGCTCATAACTGCTGTGGAACAAACTTGGGAGCACCATGAAGTCTTCACTGCTTAGGCTGAGACTTGTGGACCACTTTAGTATGGAAGCTCCTTCTAATTGCATGCTGCTTTCAAGTAATTTTGTTTTTATACTGATAACATCGGATACTGAGAAGAAGACCGGATAAGGTTGGAGGTATAGGATGGAGCCTTGGAGTGTCTTTTTTTCTTAGTAGTAAAGGTTGTTTATTTGTGGGGAGTCAAAGCTGGGGGCAGGGACATCTAAGTAAGATTCTTTTAAAAAAAATCATCTCAGAGAGAGAAAGGGAAGGAGAGATGGAGGGAGGGAAGAAAGGTGGGGGGGGAGAGAGAGAGAAAGAGAGAGAGAGAGAGAGAGAGAGAGAGAGAGAGAGAGAGAGAGAGAGAGAAAGAGAGAGAGAGAGAACGAACATTGATGTAAGAGAGAAACTCCAATAGGCTGCTCCCACATTTGCTCTGACCAGGCATTGAACCTGTCATCTTCTGGTGTATGGGACAATTCACTGAGTCACACAGGCCAGGGCTCCAGCGGTTTCTTGAGGTAGAGTTGTGAGGGTGGGAGCTTAGCACAATGATCAGCCTCAGCACCCCATTTACATTCCATTCAGTTCAGTTCTGCAATTGGTTATTGAGTGCCTGCAGTGCCTGTCAAGTAATGAAAGGCTGCAATTAGTGACAGCTTTAGGATCAGATAAGGGAATCATTTGAGGACTGGGAGAAGGTTCTGGTTTCCAACACTGTCAGATCCAGTTTAATGTGATGAACATTTACTGAGTCTCTAGAACTGGGATGAGAAAGCTGGCCTATAGGCTTCATCAGACTTGCCACCTATTTATGTAAAATAAACTTTTGCCAGAACACAGCCATATTGGCCTGGCTGCTTTTGCACTGCAGCAGTACTGTTGAGTAGTAGTGATAGAGGGCCTCCATGCCAGAAATGCAGTGGACCAAAACCAGTCTGCCTGGATTAGGATCTTGGGCTTCTTCACTCACTAGCTGTGTAACCGTTACTTTAGTTTTACATGAAGTAGGCATAACAGGAATACCTCCCTTAGAGCTGTAATCTGTTTAATGTGCTAAGAACAATGCTTGGTAATGGGGGTGTTCACAAATGCTAGCTTTCTTTGTTATTTCTGCTTCCCTCTCCTCCACCACTGCTAGGTCCTGAGGCTGAGTTTGGGAACACAGAGGTAAACATAACAGAGCATCATTCTTAAAGAGTTTACAAAGTAGTGATTGAAACTGATAAAGAAAAAGCTGATCCAGCATAAAGTAATGATTGCTGTGGTGGAGGTACACTTGGGTCTCAAGAGGCCAGAAAAGACAGAAATCAGAGCTGGCTTTACTAAGGAGATAAGCAATTCGACAAAAGTTAGAGAATAAATATGAATTTCCAATGTAGACAAGTGGTCTGAAAGACTTCCAGGCAGACAAAAGACCAGGTGCAGAGGCAGCGAGGAGTGAGAGAGGATTACATGTCCAGAGAGATACAGCTAGTTGAGTGTTCCTTAAAAATAATATACATGGTGCACCTGGCTGGTGTGGCTTAGTGGTTGAGTGTCAACCAATGAACCAGGAGCTCACAGTGAAGAAGTTGGCTAGGATATTGGATAGGGAGAGTTTCCAGGGAAATAACCTGTATTCTTTGATTTAAGACATGAGCCAATTTCTTTAATTCAGCAAATATATATTGACTTCATTGGGCTGAACTATGCTAGATGCTTGGATACAAAGATAAGTAGTACGCGATCTCGGCCTTATAGTGACCTAGGGTCAAAGAGGGGAGAGTGCCACACAGCCATCACAGTAAACAACCCTCACTGCAGTGAAGGTCTTTGTCAAGAGTCTTAGAGTCTGGAGGAAAGAATGACTGCATGTCTGGAAAATGTGGCTTAAATTTGAGCCAGATCTCAAAGTTATAGACTTCCAAGGCTGAGAGGGGTGAGAGGCCATTCCAAGCAGAGAGTGGAGCCTGAGTAAAGACACAGAGACACGAGGAATGGAGTATTTGAAAACGTGCCAAGAGGTATTGTGTGCAGTATGAGTTGGATGCAAAAATACTGTTTAAAGGGATGTCATTTAAGGGACTCGTATTCTATCACACAACAGCCTGAAAAAGTGTTTTTTGGTGGATATTATAACAGGTAGTTTCTCAAGATTAGAAAGGAGAGTTCAATTGGAATTAAAGATTGCCTGTGTCTAGGAAAGGAAAGGAGGAAAGGGGGGAAAAAAGCAACAGAAGGTAAAGAAGGCCAAGATATGAATGCTGAGGAAGGCAGGGGATTATAGTATGGGAAATGATCTTGGGGACATGATGAATGCATATATCTGTTTGGTGATGTGGCAAGGCATCTAAATAAAGATGTAGAACATGTAAAAACCCCAACCATATAATTGGATTTGGGAGTTTTTGGTAAAGAGGCAAGAAAGCCTTAATAGACATGAGGATATTCACTGTCAAATGATTTTCTTAAAGCAGTCTTTTCATGGTGTCACTTCTTAGTTAAAAAACCTTTAGAACAGTGGCTCTCAACCTTTCTAATGCCACGACCCTTTAATACAGTTCCTCATGTTGTGGTGACCCCCAACCATAAAATTATTTTTATTGCTACTTCATAACTGTAATTTTGCTACTGTTATGAATCGTAATGTAAATATCTGTGTTTTCCGATGGTCTTAGGCGACCCACATGTTGAGAACCAATGCTGTAGAGCCTCACCATTACCTCATTGCCTAAACTTCTTAAATGGGAGATAGATATTTTTCTGATTTGGCCTTAATTTTGTTCTGTGCAAACTCCCTTTTGAGTGCATGCTTGCCCACATGGACCATGGTGTCTTGGCTGAACCATTGCATTTACTTACTACATCTTGGTCTTTCCTCTGGGCCTTTAATCCTAAAAACCATTGCCCTTTTCTGGTTGGAATTTCCCTCTTTTCTGAAATATAGTTTCTGCCTATCTTAAAAGCTCAATATAACTTTAATCTTTTATTTGTTCTTCTTAATCCATTGCCTCTTCTCTTTCTATTTAGCATGTTCTTAATAAGTTAATTTCCCAAAAAACCTTGGAAAGCACAAAAGACAATTTGATAATCATAGTGCCAGGTGTACCCATTAACAATGTGGGTTTTTTTCAATAGAGGGAGTTACACATATATATGCGACTTGATACGTATGCTATTTTGTTTTATTGACAGCAAGCTTCAAAATGTCATATGTCAAATTTTCTGAAGGTATTAACATCATAGATATTTTTATGCTTAAAAATGTCTAATTTTGTGCCCTATTAAGATAGAGCATTTATGGGAAGTTTTAATTCATAACTTTATTTTGAAGAAAAGTACTGTTGAAAGTTATCGTATTCTTCGGGAAGCTTATAGTGATCATGTTTCATCTTAAGATACTTGTGAATGCTGGTTTAAATGCTTTAAAAGTGATAATTTTGCTGTGAAAGACAAAGAATGCCCAGGTCAACTGAAAAAGTTTGAAGACCAACCATTACAAGCATTATTGGTGAAGATGCGTGACAAACTCAAAAACAACTTGCAGAAAGATTAAACGTTGCTCAGCAAACAATTTTTAATTGTGTATAAGCAATGTGAAAGATTTTAAATGAAGGAAAATGGGTGCCACATCAACTGAATGAAAGACAAAAGGAAAACTGAAAAGTCATCAGTAAAATGTTGCTTCAGTGACACGAAAGAGTCTTTTGCATTGAATTGTGACTGGCAATGAAAAGTGGATTTATTTTGAGAATCCAAAATGCACAAAATTATGGGTTGATCTAGGTCAAACATCAACATTCACTGCAAGGCCAAATGGCTTCAGAAAGAAGACAATGATCTGCTTTTGGTGGAACAGGAAGGTGTGGTATATTATGGGCTTCTAAAACCAGTTGAAACCATTAATACTGATTGCTACTGACAACAAATAATCAATTAGAACCATGCTTTGATTGTGAAACAACCAGAATTTGCCAGAAGACATGGCAAAGTAATTTTGCTTCATGATGATGCACCATCACACACTTCAAAACCATTTAAAGATATGTTAAAATATCTTGGCTGGGAAGTATTGGCCCACCCACCGTATTCACCAGATCTTGCTCCTTTATATCGATATTACCACTTGTTCGGATTGATGGCACGTGTACATTCTGAGCAGCACTTCAAAATGTACAAAGAAGTGAAAATTTGGTCTCTGAATGGTTTGCCTCAAAACAAGAAAAATTCTATTTGGACAGTACCCACAATTTACCTAAAAGATGGGGGAAATGTGTAGCTAGCGATGGACATTACTTAGGATAAAGCACTTTTGATGTTTCTCTTGAAATTATTGTGTTTTCTTTGATTACAAAATTTGCCATTATTTACTGGTATACCTAGTACATGCATTGCTCTTTATGTATAAACTAGGGGCCTGGTGCATGAAATTCTTGCAAGGGGAGGGTGGCTGCCCGGTGCCTGCACATGCAAATTAACCTTCCATCTTTGTTGGGCTAATTTGCATTCTCCCTCCTGATTGGCTGGTGGGTGTCATGAAGTGATGGTCAATTTGCATCTCTTTTATCAGTGTAGATTTAAATTTTCCCCTTGAAGACAATGATTACATAGTTTTTGTAA